CACACTAAACTTTGGTTTAAGTTTTGTAATCCTGTGTTTTTTATAAACTGCAAAGGCAGAAGTATTCAGTGCAGATACACGTCTATTTTCAGCAGTACCTGAAAACTTTTGTGGATTGTTGTTTACAGGGCCAGCCAGGACTGCTTGGACAGCAAGGATTCTCTGGGCCATCGGGAGTGATGGGCATACCAGGACTTTCAGGGCACAAAGGGGACAAAGGTGACCGAGGTAGACCTGGCATTACTGGACCCAAAGGAGAAGCGGTAATTTTCTAACTTCTTAAGTCAACTTCACTATAAAGAACAAATGCAAAAAGTAGGTGACTACAACATCATGTTTCCCTTTTCATTATAGGGACAAAGAGGAGTCACAGGGTTTCCCGGTGCAGATGGAATTCCTGTAAGTAATTGTTTGTTCCTTGTATTGAAATTTGAAACTGTTATGATAGTCTTTCCTGTAAATAATTCAAGTTATAAGTAACCAAATAATACAGCTCATTTTTTTCTCCAGCCAAACTCAGATGTATAAAATACAAGATCAGCATTAAAAACAAACCATAATCATGTTTTTAAAAGTTATTTAAACACTGACTGAAATAAATGTTTTTAGCTGTTTATACATAGGCGATGCTGATGAATTTTCATGCTGCACTGTCCCATGATCTTATTGGGTTGGATCTTAGATTTCAGACATAGTCAGAATAGAGAGCAGAGATTAGAATTAATGTTTTATGCATGCTGAAGAGAAATCTGTTTTAAAGTATTTCTTTAGTACATTTATAGAGCACTCATCTCACTTTTATGTGACTCTAGACAAAAAAATAAAACAAATAACACAAAATACGATCCCGGAACAAGTGCAACCGATGCACGGCCTTGAGCTACAGTATGTGAAGGCCCTCCTAGCCATGGTTTCTACTTGCTCTTTGAGCAGGAGCCATGAATCCAGGAGGACCCCGAGATTATGTACTGGATCTATCTATGGCAGTGCCATCCCACCCAGAACTAAAGATGGAAGGTCCCCAGAACCAGGAGGTTCAAAATTCCAGATCCACCTTGTCTTGCTTGAAGTGAGCTGAAGCCTGTTGCGCCCCATCCAGGCCTCCAAAGTGTCCAGGCACTGAGACAGAACTTCCAAGCATCAATCAGACAGCCTGGGGTGTAGATATAAAGCTGGGTGTCACGGATGATATTTCACACCAAACTCAACCAACAGCT